TCAAATTACCTTACTCTCAGCAAAATTATCCTAATTTCTGGTCATGGCTACAAATTGATTTTTATGTCAAAAATCATGAACTGCTTTTACATATTTTTCCTGGAAAGAGCATCTAATATATCAAATGACCTGGTAAAACAAGCACATTTAGTGACGGTTCAAAGACAATGCAAGATTCTTTATGTTGTTTTTACGTGATCATTTTGTGCAACAATTTAAAGAAATGCAACTTAGAAAATAACAAAGTAAATGTTCTCTGTATTCTATTATTGAACATCAATTCAAGCAACAAGAGCAAGTATGGAGCAAACAAGGAAAGAAGGGCAGTAGCAATAATATGATTTTTGTTACTTCTATGCATCTTAAGGCCATTTTCTTTATCCTTTTTTACTTTGAAAGGTWTCTATACTAAAAGGAATGGAAGAAATGAAGGCATAAAGCCCTAGGCCTTATACTTTCATTGAAAATTACATGCTTGCATTTGGGACACCCTAGCAGTCTATGTGGTAAAACCTGAGGCTGTGAGGAACAACAGGACCTTTACTGAAAAAAAAAAATTAAGACCATCTCCAAAGAGATTATTTATTTTCTGGAAAGATGAAGCATGTACTTCTGTTTCTAGCTTTCAAACCTCAGGCAGTGGAGAGAAACAACMATTTAAAAACCACTGTGTTTTGCTGCTGCAGTGCCAACACTGGGAACACAAGTTGTAACAGATACTTCTTGAGGGTTTTTAATGACACAGCTGGTGATGCTGATAAATAGTGGAAGCTAGCAAGAACATTTCATTTAAAAATTTTTAAAAATTATTACAAAATTGGTAATAAAAACAAGGAAAAATGAATAACAATTTCTATGTGTAATTATTTTTTTAAAATAGCATTGAATAAGGATAGAGTCTATCTTCCCAATCATTTCTGCACCTGTTCATAATTGTCTTGCTATGGTGGTGACTTACTCAGCATGTTTTAGAAAGAAAAAAGTCTGTCTGCTGAAACTTCCTAGATAATTTTAACAATTAATGTTTTGCCACGCAGATCACGTTGCCTGGGTGACAAGGTAAGTTTTTTATTGGAAGAATGTTTGTACTGTTTGAATACTCTATTTGTACTGCAAGGTTCTGTATGAAAACACCTTGCTGTACTTACTGCTGTATATTTACAATCTTTACATGATCTCTGGAACTGAKAGCCACAGCTAGACAACTCTCTGTTTAGGGAATAAAGGAACCCTTTTTAGAATATCTCACTAGTGATAMATTTAACTCCAAATTCATACATGGAATGTTCTACAGAATCTTGAGGAAGCTGCCTTCCTTAGGAGTATAGACCTATGATAAAACAGCCACAACAGAAAATAGTTGTGGTATTATTTAGGTACTTGTAAATAAAACTTTCACACCTCTTAGTGTTTATGGTTATAGTTCAAGACTAACATGTAGAATGGACACACSTGAAAKTGATATCCAGGAGTGTATTTTGATRTGTATGTGTCCCTTTCCTGTCAAAATACTCTGCTGAAATTCTGGCAACTCACAGGAGAAGGATGTCGTTTCCTCTTGTTGAACTTCTTGAGATTCCTCTCAGCACATTTCTCCAGCCTATCCAGAACCCTCTGAATGGTGACAGACCCATCCAGTATTTCAGCCACCCCTTCCAGTTTTGTATCAACTGCAGATTTGTGTAGGGTGCACTGTCTCATACAGATTGTTAGTGAATGCATTAAWCACTCCTGGCACCAGTATGAAACCCTAAGGAGCTCAAATGTTTTGTCTCCAGCTGAACCATTTGGTACCAATCACAACCTTCCAGGTTTTCAAATCTCCTCACTGTGCATGTAACAAACCCATACTTCATCAGYTGGTCTGTGGAATGTTATCAGAGATAAGTCAAAAGTCCAACTATAAGTGAGATAAACATTTACTACCCTACCCTCACCCACCAAGCTAGGTGTAGAAAACTATCAGGTTCATAAAGCCTGATTTCCCTTTCATAAATTGATGCCAGCTACTCCCAACCACCCTCTTGTCTTTAACATGTGTTAAAGGCCTATTTTCTCCATCAGCTTCCCAGCTTATAATGGTATCTACAGTGAAATACAAAGAGCACATTTTTAAGAAGGATTTTAAGAATATGTTATAATTTAAGAATATATTGTATTTTATAATTTAAGAATATATTTTATTTTAAGAATATATTTTTGAAGAATATGTTACAAATTTAAGAGTATCAATTACACCTCTTAAAATGAGACACACTATATCAGACAAAAGGTCAAGCTACCCAAAAAACTGGTCTCTGAATGTTTCAACAGTGAATGTGCTTGGAAAAAGTATAAAAACTGGTCAAAGACATAGTAAGGTTTCTCCAGAACCATCTTCCAGCCTCCAAAAAATTGCAATTCAGGAACATCCTGTGTCAAAAATGATGTGTCTGGTAATTTCTCATAGATTTTTCCTCCATTAATGTGTCTGATCAATTTTTCATCCCATATAAACTAGTAACAACCGCTTTATATGCACGAAGAACCACCATTTACACACAAAAGAAGTTAACTTATTTCTATCCCATTAAAAATGGTTCTCTGTTGCAAAATTAACCTGAACCTTATCCATTGTAATGTGCAGAACTTGTGTGAGTAGTGAGCTATGGCCTGAACCTGGCAGCATGTACAAATGAGATAAAGGCAGAAAACTGTCATTGGACAGCACATTATGGRATGCAGAAGTGATTAATGAGAATCCAGAGGGGAAGCAATACAAAAACCTGAAAGCTGAATGGTATGAGGTGGTTGTATTACTCGTCATTCTTGCACTCTCAATCGGAAACTCAAGGTGTTGCTGTGTCTGGATCYTATTTGCTACTGAATTCCTATTTGCTGTGCTCTTTTCTTCCTTGCTGCCTCTGGCACATACTGTGGACACWAGACTTTTCTCCATTATTACTCAATGACACGTCCTCATGCAAATSTCAGTATGAATCTGTCACATCCAGAAGTCAACTATCAAAAAAAGAGGGACTATCTCCATCTATTTCAATAAATCCAYAAAAATTTGGGATGCGTGTGTCTGTTCCAACCAGCACTGAGAAATAGTTGTACTCAAAATAAATATGAAAAACTCACAGTACAATTCCCAAAGCTGGTTTATTTTAATTTCTCATTAAAACATATGCTTTTCTAACAATTTAAGAACTGCTGCAAACCATTTGAACAGATTATAAATTACTGACCAGAAAAACATGAGTGAGCCTAATCTATATATGCTTTCCCCAGTAAAGTATTCTGTGCCCCTTTTTTGGAGGTTCTTCTCCAGAAAATTTCACTTTGAAAGACCTTTACTAATCAAAGAACAACAAACCCTATGTATTTCTAAACATTTACATATATACATAAACAATTGTACCCAYTTTAAAGTATTGTTCTTAACAGCAATTATCCATTTTTCAATTAAATTTTGATTTGCTTTTAAAAGTTCCTTTATTTTTTACTTTGCAGACTGGGGAATGCAGAAATTGAGTATCTGTAAATCGATCCCCACGTCTTAATTTGCTGTGAAGAAAAGAAATAAAAGACAYAATGTATGAATATCATCAAGCACCTATGCAACTATAGAAATGTCATCATAATAACAATTCAAATGGTAGATAGTACTAATGAAACCTTGATACACTAAAGAAAATAAATTTATGGAAAATAAGTATGTCTGAAAAAGCAAGACAGGTAACTACTGYTTTCCAAAATAATGCAAGAAATATTAATCTTTTTATGTGATCTCTATCATATTTACATGTGATATTCTTATAAAACAAAATTCAAAACTTATTTTAACCAAACACTTCACAGTACCTATTCAGGACAGTATAATTCTAACTAAAATGTAAACAGGAGACAATCATGTAAAATTTTGACTGACATGAACATTTTTTCTGTTCTTAGTTTCTGTGTCTCAGGAATACAGAACCCTTTCATTTTAGGGTGAAAGGGTGTCAATGTGTCAATGTATAATATTACAGCATTTTAGCATATAAATCAAATAGTAAAATAAAAGTATGACTCTAATCCCTTTCCAATTTTTTTTACAAGTTATCTGGC